ATTTGCAAAGACCTTATTCCAAATAAGGTCGTGTTCACAGGAACCAGAGTTCAGACTTGAACACATGTTTTTGGTAGACATATTTCAACTCTCAACACCTGAAGTGCTGAATGCAGTATTCTAGATCCACTGAATGGGTGATTCTAGTGACAATCTCCACATCGTAAGGGCTGTTGCCCTGAAATACAGCATTGTTAAGGTCCCTGAAGGTTACCCACATCCAGGGGGTACAGATTTCAAGAAACTAATGCATAACAATGAAAATGGAGAAATTGAAGAGACTCAAAAACAGGGGTTGGTCAGAATTTCAGGTACTTGCAAGATTCAGCTGTGATGGTAACTTTTGTGTGTTAATTTGACTGGGCTAAGGGATGCCCAGCTAACTGGTAGAAATGTTGTTTCTGGGTATATCTCTGGGGCTGTTTCTGGAGAAGCTGTTAGCACTTGAATCAGCACTAAAGAAGATTGCCTTCACCCAATCTTTTGAGGGCCCAAATAGAACTAAAGGTCAGAGGAAGGGTGAATTCATTCTCCCTGTTTGATCTGGGACATCTGTATTCTAATTCCTTGGGACATCAGCACTTCTTGGAGCTTCTTGGGCTGGGAATTATACCAACAGCTCTCCTGATTCTCAGACCTTCAGACTCAGACTGAATTATAGCACCAGCTCTCGTAGTTCTCCAACATGCCAAAGGCCAATTGTGGGACCTAGCATCCTCCATAATCAGGTGAGCCAATTCCTATAATAAATTTCCTCCTCTATAACCTGTTCCTTCTTTTTCTCTAGAGAACCCTGGCTGGTACACTGGCCTTATCATTAAATATATTACTTAGTAAACATGTGTAATGAATAATGTTTCAAGACAGAGGCAAATTTTAACAGTTACTGATGATGGTCCTAATAATGGCCTGGTGTTAAAGAGAGCAGATGTTTGATCTGCAGTGGGATTAACAGAAACAAATATAGCTAAAGAAGTTTCCGATATCATTCTTACCAACGACAACCTTGCAAGTATTGTTAAAACTGTCATATGAGGTTGAAATGTTTATGATACCATTTTCAAATTCCTTCCATTTCAGTTGACTGTGAGCGTCACACTTGTGGCCTTTGCAGCTGCATATGTTGTCCAGGATTCTCCTTTTAAGCTGGTCATACCCTTCTGGTGAATCTCCTAATGGATGCTTTTGCTTACCTCACTTTGGCAACTGAAAAGACCATGGAGCCACCTTTGCTTTGTAAACCTTATGGTAGGAAAATCTCTCCTGTCCATTTATAAAATTGGTATATAACAATTTTATATACAGTATATAGTTTCATTCCGTCTTACATTTGTTAGCAAACTCCTTTGTAATTTTGACAGTACAAGAAACACTATTCTATATGCTCCTCCTTCTATCTATGCAACTCTTTTATTTTCCCTTTTCTTTTCTTTTTTTTGTTTTTTTGAGACAGATTTTTGTTCTTATGACTCAGGTTGGAGTGCAGTGGTGCTATGTCAGCTCACCACAACATCTACCTCCCGGGTTTAAGTGATTCTTCTGCCTCAGCCTCCCAAGTAGCTGGGATTACGGGCACCCACCACCAGAGCCAGCTAATTTTTTGTACTTTAAGTAGAGATGGGATTCACTATGTTTGTAAGGCTGGTCTCGAACTCCTGAACTTAGGTGTCCCACCTGCCTTGGCCTCCCAAAGTGCTGGGATTACAGGTGTGAGCCACCACGCCCAGTCAACTTTTTAATGAAATTAATGCCAGGAAGCTTCATTGCAAAACAAACATATTCGAGAGATTGTTCAGTGATGATATCTTTCATCTAATGGTCAAGGGAACATTTGCTGTATCATGTGGTGTGGTGCAATATTGGAGACAATTGCTCTACTGTACAAATCTTGGTGCAGACATATGGCCATGGTGTATTTTCCAAGGATGTACGGATGTTACTGGGGCTTCCGCTCTTAAATACAATTCCAAATAACTGTGTGGAGCCCATCATAAGACTTTCACTGAGGGAAAGATTACTAAAGTTTTTACTGAATTTACTAAAGATATGCGAGGGTCATAATTAAAAATGCAAAGCAAAGATCCATTTTGGGTGCTATGCTGCGGTAGAATCAAAGATCCAGTTAGAAAGAAAGAAACATGTATTTCTTTCATCCATCCACTTTCTTTATCAGGTCACCCCGTATAAGGAAAGGAACCCTTTCCAAATTTACACACATTTTATCTTAAATACTTAAAGTATCCTAATACCCACACAACAAGTTCATTTTATCCTTCTTCTAAAATCTTAGATTTTTTTAAAATAATAAATGCATGAATTGAATTGTTGCCACTGCTACTTTTTAAAACTGTTTTTGTGGAAGTGAAGGATACACAGAGAGCTGTATTTTAGACAGAAGGGTAATGTGAGAATTCCTTATAACTAAAGCATGGACGAGAGAAAAATATTCTAACTGTTGCATTTCTTTTTATCTATTAGCAGAAGTCCAAGAACAAAATTATGAATAAGTTAATATATTAACATTTGCTATTAATAAAAGTCAACTGTCTACATTATATGAGATAAAGACATGTTTAAAAGGCCCAGTACCTTATTGGAACTTTTGATTTATTGTATATTGTAGATAAGGGATACATGTTATTATAAAAACACAGGCAAAATAAGTGCTTTCTAAAAATACAGGCAGCTATGGTCTAACATGGCTTTTGAATTAAATTGTTCTTTAAGTGCAGATACCCTTCATGATTACTAAAATGAAAAGAAGAAAAAATCCCAATCATATTTTTTCTATTTGTTATCTGGCCAAGGTTCGATTGTAACTGGGTCCTTGCAGTGTGTCTGAAACATAATAAAGGCTCCATAAGAAAACCGAAGCACAGGACCAGGGTAAAAGTAAGGTCAACAATGGACTTTTTACTTGTGTGACTTTTTTTTTTTTTTTTTTTTTTTTAAGCAGAGTCTCACTCTGTTGCCCCATCTGGAGTGCTTCAGCATGATCTAAGCTCACTGCAACCTCTGTCTCCCAAGTTCAAATGATTCTCATGCCTCAGCCTCCCTAGTACCTGGGATTACAGGTGTGCATCATCATGCCTGGATAATTTTTGTATTTTTTCATACAGACAGTGTTTCACCATGTTGGCCAGGCTGGTCTTGAACTCCCTACCTCAGGTGATCAACCCACCTTGATCTCCCAAAGTGCTGAGATTACAGGCGTGAGCCACCGCACCTGGTCTTGTGTGACAAATTTGGTAATTGGAATGTGAGTCGTCTTATATTTGGACACTTTTGCCTTAAAGATTTAGTTCTAAGGTTACATTTGGAAGATTTCACATTTGGTTTTGTCACCAAACTCCAGAAATTTTGCTTTTATTAATTATCCACAATGGGGAACTATAGACTCTATGCCTTTCCTTATTTCTGTTTGATTGTTCTGCATACAAATGAGCCAGGTAATCTGGTTCTGTAGTGTCTTTACCTCATGGTCTGTATAGATTTTTTCAATAAATCAAGCATTTGTTTGAAAGCTCCAGTGTGAACAGCACTGTTCTAAGTATTTTAGAGTGTTAGGGAGGATAGAGACATGTTCCCTGTCTTAGAGCAAGTTTTTGAACAGTAAACATTATAGAGCATGAATATACTTAAATAGATGCTTATTTTACTTATCAGAGAATCCACTAACTTCCGAATCCATGGTTGGTGATTTCACATGCACCAGAGATCCCCATGACAACTCAGGCTGCCCAAAGTTTAAAAAGCTTCTGATTTTGTTTTCTTTTGTTTTGTCAGTTACAACAAACTTCAGACTTTTACTAAGGGATATTGCTGTTTTCTAACAAGGAGGGAATCTGTTCTTATTATGATAGCTGCAATCTGTAATTATCAGGACATAATGACAAGGACCATCTAAACATGTCTAGTGATTGGATGAGCCAAAACCCAAAAATTATTAAGAAAATGCTTACTTTTATTTTTAACGTAAAATTTAGAAACATGTCTTTTCTGAATTATTTCAATGCCTGCCAAAAGAATCAATGGATTTAAAAATTTCATTTGCTGCTTTATTTGATTAATACATTTAAAATAATCAGTGATTTAAAAAAAAAAACCCAATGCTATAATAGAGCTTATATTTGAAAGTTTTGGAGAACTGTTAACTCTCAGATATCACACAATGGGAAATGCTTTAATTTATGAGGAAGTTAAATCCAAGAGTGATCATTATTTATTTCTGGTTTCTATACAACAATGTTTACTACTATTTTTCTGAATTATGATGTAATAATTGACTTATAAAACACCTTTTTATCAACCTTTCTATAATATCAGGGCTGTTACCATTGTGCAAAAGAAAGTAGTGTTAACAGTAATGATGCTTCTTAATTTCCTCTTTCTGTCCAAAGAGGTTGCTAACAGGACATCCTCCTGGGAAGGGAGGAAGGACTTTTCATTCTGATTCAATGATTATTTGCTTCTTTCTCTAAACAATCCAGAGTCTGCTTAGAAAGGGGAGAATTCCTCTCTGTCCACATCCCTATAAGGCTGGCACGTTAGCCTGCTGAGTCCATAACTCGTTTATCTGTCCCCGTTCCTCATCTTCCAGGTGCAGGAATCATATCTCCACGTCTGGCAATAACTCGGAGGAACTAGTTCTAGGGCAGAAGAATCTCAGCTGGCGCTAAAAGAAGTCCTGTGGCTTACATCCACATGGCGGCAGTATCCATGCTCACAAAGAGAATGGGGCTGTCCTCTTTCGCTCCACTCTTTTCTAGGACTGCTTTTCTTTTTCAGGATTGCCTCAGGTGATGATTCAAATCTAATTTATTTCACTAGTATATGACTGTCTTGGGAAGAGGACTTGGTTCACCAGGCCTTGATGCAGGATCTGTTAACCCTTCCTTCCACCTGACTCATCCCCACCAATCTTCTGGGGAAACTCTGCTGGTGTTTTTTTGTTGTTGTTGTTGTTGTTGTTGTTTTTTTTTTTTTTTTTTTAAGTACAAAGTACAAACTTAGGACTCTTTATTCAGGCAGTAAAGTAAGGAACAGCAAAGTGGGAGGGCTACACCATCACCATGGCAACAGAAACCCTCAAAAACATAAAGTCCCTCGACTTCTGTCGGGTAGACTCTTTCTAGCTCAGGAGAAACACATTTTGACTGGCTGAGAACAAGGCCAGGCAGCCTGGCCACACTGTGGAAGGACGGCTGGGTGCGCGGCCTCTGGTCAGTCCTGGAAGTGCTTGGTGAGGGCTTCCAGCAGCTCCTGCTTCTTCAGCCCACTCTTCAGCCCGTATGCCCGGCAAGCCTCTTTCAGCATGGGCACAGTGAACTTGCCCAGTGTGCCCTTGCTGATGTGGGTCTTCAGCTCTTCTTCTGAATACTCCACCTTGGGCCTTTTGCTTCCAGAACCTTCATTATCGTGTTTTCTCTTGGTAACTTTCCCTTCAGGATTGTAATCTGGTGGGTAAACAAGCTCCTTAAATTCATCCACCAGGGAACCCAGTCTTTTATTCATTGCTTCAACCTTGGGCAATGTCAGGTCCACTGCTTGTTCAGGCTCCATCAAATCCTTGGCAAAGGAACTTGCTTGCATCACAATTAGTAGTCTATTGCCAAGTCTTTTCCAATAGGGTTCAGGCAACAAAAAAGTGAACTCCAGAAACAGCAAAGGTAGTACTAGTGGGTTTTTTGTTTTGTTTTGTTTTTTGTTTTTGTGACAAATGTGACATAACTAGCTTAGTGACCTCATCCCACCCCATTTATGTTATGTATCCCCATTATTAGAACAATTACCCTTCGTAAGTGCTTTTCCCTACTTGTTTTCCAAAAACTCTCAGAGGATAGTGTTTGCTATGACAGCAAATGTAAGTGTGACTTGGCTTTTAAAGCCTTTCAAAATCCAGCTCCACGATGCCTTTCTGAATTCACTTCCTAATGCTCCATAATCCTGAGTAAATTCTCATTTCAGTTGGAATCATTTCCATAAATATTAATTGAGTACCTAGTTGATCCCAGACACTGTGCTACGTGCTAGGAATAAATAAAATAAAGTCCCCTCCCTAAAGGAGTTCAGGACATATCAGGAGAATCAACACAAATGTAGCTATAATATAATAACAATACTAGCAATTGTTAACTTTATTGAGCCCTTCATATAGTCCAGGCAACGTTCTAAGTATTTTGTGTCAATGCATTTAATCCTCACAACAAACTTATGAGGTGGTATCATTAGTATCCTCATTTTATAGCTCAACCACAGAGAAGTTGTTTTCTAAGACTGCACAGTTAATAGATCAATAATTGAATCCAGATACTTTGGCCACAGAACCTACTTCCTTAACTACTACATTGTATAGATATCGTGAAGAGAGATGTATTGGAGATGGAACAGAGTCTACAGGCACAGAAAGGATGCAATTCATTCAGCTTGGAGACATGGGAAATGGTGTCATAGAGACAGGTTCACTCTATTCTTTATTTATGTATGCCACTACCTCCTGGAAAGGAATCAGGACAGCTCACACTGGGAAAGGTATGCATTAAAGTAATGATAAAATAGAAATAGGAAATCAGGGCCAGGGGAAAATTAAATATTGTAAGAAAATCAAGATCAGAGGAAAAGTAAATTTATTCTTTAAAGAATAGCTTAGTTACGCCATGCTTTAGCATCTAATTTTGCTATGAACTTTCTGGTAGTCAAAGAGAAAAGCAAGTCATGGTCAATTGCTTGTTTATTGACATAAAGGAACAAGCAAACCAGTTTATTACAAGAGAAAAAAAGCCTTTCTTAGAAGTATGTTCTAAATTAAGATTTTCAAGAGGGAGTTGTATTAGTGTTACTGAGAACAGTAGTAGAAACCATGTCCCCTACAATGCTCCTATAACAAAATAATAGAAAAATTTCTATGGTAGTTTCTTAAAACGTTGGTTGATAAAAGCCAAGGATACTGCATAAATGTAATTTAGCAAAGATGATTCCATTAAAGATATTACTGTCTGAATTCAGAATCTTCTGGTGGTAGGATTTTGAGTTAAGTCTAGAAAAAATGAGGATTTTTCTAGGCTTAGAAGCAGGGTGAAGGTATTCAATGAGGAAAAGCAGTATTATATACAGTTTAGTGTGATTTTCCTTGTACATATGTGTGAAGAGGGAGGAATGGAGGGAAAGTCAGTTGGTCAACAAACCTTTATTGAGTGCCTGCTATATGTCAGGTCCTGTGCAAGCTTCTAGGATATGAGAATGACTAGGATGAAGTCCCTACCCTCAGAGAGATTCTAGTGTCTAGGTATAGTGAAGTTTCTATAGAAACTCGAATAATAAAGCTGGGAACAAATAAGTAATTTCACATGAGTACTGATCATTACGATGAAGAAAACAGGATAAAGTTAAGTATCTCGGGTGGGGGACTGCTTAAGCTGGGACCTTCAGGAAGCAACTGTATACATACTTGGTGAAGCACTTTTTCAGGTAGAAAAGGTAGCAAATTGTAAAGGCAGAAAACAAGATGGATTTTCTTCTAAGATTAATAAAAGCCAATGGAGGGTTTTAAGCAGGAAGTTGACAATGTGATTTACATTTCTTTCTTTCTTTCTTTCTTTCTTTTTTTTTTTTTTTTTTTTTGAGTCTCGCTCTGTCACCCGGGCCGGAGTGCAGTGGTGTAATCTTGGCTCACTGCAGCCTCTGCCTCTTGAGTTCAAGCTATTCTCATGACTCAGCCTCACTAGTAACTGGGATTACAGGCACCCACCACCATGCCCAGCTAATTTTTTTTTTTTTTTGTATTTTTAGTACAGAGAGATTTCACCATGTTGGCTAGGCTGGTCTTGAACTCCTGACCTCAGGTCATCCACCAGCCTTGGTCTCCCAAGTGCTGGGATTACAGGCAAGAGTCACCACATACATTTTTTAAAAGCTCACTCTGGCTGAGATGTGGAAGATGGAGTAGATGGATATTCAGAGAGAAAAACTCTGACAGAAATGTCAGTTGGAAAGCTGCTTTGAGAGTCCAGGGGACATGATGGTGGTTTGGACTAGGGTTGTACATATTTTGGAAATGAAACCAGTGTGGGGGGATCTTTGTATCAGGAAAGGAGTAAGTGGATCAAGTTACAAGTAGGTTATTGGGTTTGGTGATAAGGAAACCAGTTGGTTATCATTTGTGTCTATTTTTAACATAATGCATGAGGCAAGACTACTACCTAAGAATGATGAAAGAGTAGATGATAGAGATTTAATCAAGGATGATGCATAGTTGTGTTGCCAAAGCAAGTAGGTGAATGATGTGCCCTTTTGTTAAATAGAAAAGACATGGAAATGGGAGACTAGGGAAATAAGTACTTCTCTTTTGATCAAGTCAAGTTTGAAATGACTACTGGACATACAAGTGGCTGTAACAATAGAAGTCAGGAGCTCAGGGCAGAAGATAAGAATAAAGTGAAAATTAATGGGTATCTGAAAGATTTTAATTATCTTAAACACAGAGAAAATAGTTTTAAAATATGCTAATAACATTTTCAACTGTAACTCTGTATTCTTTTATCTTTGCAGGCAAATTCTCTCCTAAAAGCCCTGAGTCCATTCATTAATCTGGGTGAAAAAGTACAATAAATAAATATTTCCCTGTTTCCTCTTTTTCAGAGATTCAGGGCTTACATACAGAAGGCTTGAGACTGGAAAGATTATTTGGAAGATGGAAAAAAGAGCAGGTCACAGACTAAAAAACAGAAGGCAGGTGTTAACAGAAGGAATACTAGATAAGATGGAGGGCTTCCAGATTTATTGGTGTGATAACTGTAAAACCAGTGTCACAGAGACTGGAGAAGAAAATCTTTTGAGAAGAAATGAATTATCAATCATACAAAATGCTGCTGAGAGTGTGAGTCAAGTAGGAAGAGAGCACTGACCATTGGCTTTGGAGAAATCTCAATCATTGGTGATCTTGGCTAGGATGTTAGAGAAGTGGTAGGAATAAAAGCCCTGTCGGTGTGGGTAGAGTGGAAAATAAGAGGTGAAGAAGTGGAGACAGCCAGGAATACAAGCCTTTTAGGGAGGTCTGTTGTGAAAATAAATGGAGACATATGGTGGCAGCTGAAGGGAGATATCATGAAGGCTCTTTTCCAATGATGGGTGATATTAAGGTATGTGTACATACAGATAGGAATGACCCAGTGAATGAAAACTGATGATGCAAGAGAAAAATGATATACCTGTAGAAGCATGGTCCCTAGGAAGGGAGATAGAATAGAACAGAATTCTATAGAAATTGAGTGGAGAAAAGAGGAGGTGAGAGAAATCTAAGGAGACGACGTCAAATAATCATTTTAAAGACTAAAAAGGCAAATTTACTACAGCAAAAGAGGAGGGTTATCCAGGAGAGTTGAATGCCCATTTGATATTTGTAGATTTAAATTGAAAAAACAGTTGAAGGGGCTGGGTGCAGTAGCTCGTGCGTGTAATCCCAGTCCTTTGGAAGGCCAAGGTGGATAGATGAGTTGAAGACCAGCCTGGCCAACATGCAGAAAGCCCATCTCTACTAAAAATAAATTAGCTGAGCATAGTGGCACATGCTTGTAATCCCAGCTACCTAGGAGGCTGAGGCAGGAGAGTCACTTGAACCTGGGAGGCAGAGGTTGCAGTGAACGGAAATTGAACCACTGTACTCCAGCCTGGGCAACAGAGTGAGATTGCATCTCAAAAATAAATAATAAATAAATAAAATTAAAACAATTGAGGTATTATGAAGGAGGGCTCAGTGTCTGCTTCTTCACTTCAGTCACTTATTTCCTAAACTCATATCTTGACTTCCCTACTTCTATTCTACCTACGAAATTAAAATTCCCACATCCCACTCTAACCACAGTCTTTTATCATTCAAGTTTGCTACTGCTCTACCGTGTATCTATTTAATGTCACAATGACCTTGGCATCTTCATTTCTTTTGGGCTATTGGGTCTCATTCAGGCTTTATTTCTCTTTATGTGCTGCCTAGATTCCATAGCTCATTACTTCAGTCATTTTCTCTCTAATATCTTAACTCTAATTTCCTTAACCCATTGTTCATTCATTGTGCACATTCTATAAAATTCAAGATGAGCCAAGTGATCTGTCTTTTCTATTCTTACACCTGTGCTGTAGGGCAAAGCAAGGGGAAGAAAGAAAAAATGCCTGAATGCTGTCACACACATCCACGGTTTCTCAATGCCCAGCCATTCTTGGTGTGCACTCTTAGCGAATTTCTATTCCTATTCCTCCTGAGTGACTAAATTTTCATCACATTTCTGAAGTTGTTGCCACTTCCGCCATTATAATTTGAAGGTAACAAATCCTTACCTGTGACAGAGAAAACAGAATTTATCAGAGGAGAACCTTTATAAATTGCTGTTCCCCTCCATCTCCTTCATAGATTCCTTTCTGCCTCAATAGAAGTCACATCTTAACTTCCACCCTATTTTAATTCCCTCCTTTGCATGTTTTTCCTCCCCTATATTATCCCTGATGGTTTTGGTTGTGTTAAACACCTAATTTAAACTAACATAGGCAAATGAACCCCAAGGATAGGGCTGGTTTTAACCACAACTAGTTCCAAAAGTTCA